CCCACCCTGCTACCCCTCCCCCCCCCCCCCCGCCCCCCCTGGGGGGGGGGGGGGGGGAACGGTGGCACACACAGTGGTAGAGAAATGCCTGCTCCTCTCCACTTCCACAAGATGAGGCGCCCATGGCTCCACCTCGAGCTCCACCCCAGGGTGGCATCCACGGCCCTGGCTGAGCACCTCCCTGACTGTGGGAGCCTCCATCTGTACCTCCACGCTCCTTCCTCCCCACAGACTTACCGGCTGGATGCTGCTCTCCAAGCTGCCGGGCTACATTCTTGTAAATTGGCTATCAGAGGATCTGTATCAGCCGGTATGGCTGGCTAATAATCGGCCATCGGTATTGGCCAAGAAAATCTTTATCAGTGCACCCCTAGTTAACACTGTTAGGCGTGCAAACATGATTCATAAGGTAAACCCAGAGATTTCACATAAGAATCCAGAGTGCTAGAAAAACATTCTGACTTGTGGTCTTTCTGAGTTCTTTGTTATAGAAAAATTGCTGTGTTACTTCTCCATTATCAAAAAGGGGGGCAGGAGGGAAGATTAAGAGCTGGTATTTTCCAAGGGGTGCCTTGAGCCTAAAAAGGTTGAGAACCACTGACCTGGAGACCACCCACACCCACACCCACACCCACACACACACACACACACACAAGTTCTGCTCTCAAACCTGTTTCAAGAGACAAGCTAAAAATAAGTAAATAGGTGACAAGTTACACTGCACAGATGGGGAGAGCACAAGGTAACAGTGATGCATTCCCATTAGCTGCTTGGGATCAAGTTGCTGTTCATACTGCATTTACCTACTTTGTACCAGACAGCTCGAAATAGAATTCTAACAAACTTTTGAAGAGAAAACCTCCTTTACTTACACTCTCCTTCATCGCATGAATATCTGTATTTCCCTGAAGACTTCCCAGACCAATTATTTTGCCTCCATTAGTTCGCACATGGATTGTATGACTCTGGGGGAAAAATGTAGAAAATATACATTAAAATAATTAAGTATCGGGTTCTGATTATTTTGTTGGTTCAAATTCCATTGTTCAAGTCAATCCTGACCTGCAAATCTCAGCAATTAGACATTTGGGGCTTTTCTGAGAAGACTGCTAAGTGTGTTAATTAGTATCAAAGGGGTCACCCTTCCATGGCCAGATCCAGAGGGGGTGCAGTGCTGCAGTCACACCTCTCCTTTGGCTGGAGCATGCATGAATTCTCAGCATTAGGTCTTTCTAGAGCCCCTGCTTTTGTATAGCTTTGAAGCTCAGAGTCTGCTCCCTTCCCCTGCTGCTGAATTCAGCAGGAAGGGGAAGGGAAGGGAAGGGAAGGGAAGGATGAACAGTAGCAGCATACGTGCCCTGGCTCTGGAGCCATGCAAAAGCAGAGGCTCTGGACAGCCCCTGCCTAATCAACTGGTGAGCTCAGAGTTCCCTACTCGCACAGAGCACCAGCTGCAGCCTGTGCTGGCAAGACAGTGAGCCCAGAGCAAGCACAGCAAAGCACAGCCAAAGTAGGGGAAAAAGCCCCATCCATTGCCCCATGCCTGGATCTGCTACTGCACCTTTATTACTGCACCTTTATCTTATTACTGGGCCCAAACACTCATTTTTCCTTCTGATTCAAAATGCATAAAGATCAATTATTCTAACCCAACCCTCTTGTCAAAGCAAGTTTTGGAGCCAGTGGTAGTACTATGCACTTTTTCGGGGGGGGAGTGATCAAAATATTATCTTAATGCCAGTAATTTCTCAGTATTTTGTGGCTAGTCTTGCCTAAAAGCCTGTAATGAGAAGTTTCAAAAATACCAAATTACAATGTCAGGCTGTTTTAGAGACTTCAAGCATTAGGGCAGAACTTGTTTATTTTCAATAAGGAGAAGTTGGATCATTTCTGGTCTGACTCCTAAAAATCTACCACCATCATATATTAGCAGTTTTACTTTCTACTGATAGATACCAAGTAGGAATGCAAGACCAGTGAAGTATTCAGTAGATGTACTGGGAAGAAAAAGTTGTGGGTTGCAGACATGAGAGCAAACAAGTGTCCAGCAAAAGTATGGGCAAATAACCATTTTTTTACCCTCCTCTGCTCCCTTATCTTTTCTTCAGCAATGGGAACGAGCACTTCACTTAGCATCTTTGAAGGTAGGAGGCTTCTTCTAAAATGAAAGGAATGCTGTGTAATCTCTTATGATATATAAGAGACAAAGATTTCTTACTCTCTACTTCACAAACCATTCATAGGACTTCTATTCCCAAACTGACTAGGAGGAATATCTAAAAGCAGATTTGTGCTTAATAATTAATGAAAATACATATTAAAAGGGGAAGTAAAGACCCTTGGCTCATAGTCTGGGCCACTTCTGTGTGGTGACTTCATTCTTTATGGTTGACCCAAGAGATGGTTAAAACATCACTAACAAACTGCTACAGCAGGCTTCGAGTCCTACATGCAGGCAACAAGTAAAACGTGATGGACCACTGAGCCTTGTTATTCTGCATCCCAAAACCAGGAGTATATATCTACATTACAGTGTAAAGCAAAGCTACCCAAGCTAGCTCTTCAGGAGCTAGCTTGCATACTGGGAGCAGTCTAGGCATGGAACACAAAGTTCCAAGCAGGCATATTAATCCTAATGCAAACATGCACCTAGATTAAGTAGGACTTTAACTGGATTTGTAGATTATTGAATAGGGATTAGTCCTTGGAGTGCTTACTACATCCAAAGTCTCATGCATACAAAACAATTTCTAGCACTGCCAATGCTTTGTAATTAAACTAAATAATCTATTTCATTTTTTTTTAAGGACATTGAATATTAAAATCAAATTTTCACCCCTAGAGCAGGGGCTCTAGAAAGACAGAGGAATGACACTGACTCCTAGTGTTCACCCTCTTTGTTCCAAAGAACTAGAGCTATTTGGCTGTGGCACAGAATGAAGATGAAACATAGCAGAGAGACTACAGGAAAAATACACAGAAAGATGGGAAAGATGAAAAACAAACCTAAATTAAATTCAGACAGACAGGAAGTCTACTGCAGAAATCGGGGACCTAATTAGAGTTTAAAGATGAAAGGGCCCTGAGAGACTGAAAGGAAGGATGTTTACAAAGAACATCACAGTTAGGAACTATAGAAAAATCTTCTACTGTTCTGAAGGTGTGTTAATGTGATTTGCACCAAATACAAATATTAAAAAGAATGATCTATGCCAGAACTGTTTCAAAGACTAATCATACTGAACTCCTACAACAATTCTAAGATTCAAAAAAATAAATGTCATCTATGGAACCCACCTACCAACAGCTTAAACTTTTGCTTAATTTTGCTTCTGTATTTTGATGGAGTGAGGCATATACTTGTTTTTCATTAAAACAGAGCTCTGGGGAAACAAAAACTTCACCATCATCGTCTAAGAAAGGGAAAGGCAATTATTTTGGCTGGAGGGCCTCTTAATGAGTTTTGGTGAGCTGTCGAGGGCTGCAAGGTTGGCCCTACCCCTTGACAGGTGCTGTGCCCCCTGGTCACCATCTTGGGACCAGAAGTCCTGACTCTAATCCCTGACTTTGGCCACCAAAAGTACTGCTTTTGGGAGGGGAGGGTTACCATCTTAGAACCAGAAAAAAAACCAAATCGCATACCAGAAGTCAAACACCTACTATATTTTAAATTACAAAAAATATTTGTCAGGATTTATGTTTGTGTACTGTATATATAGCTGATTGCATAATAGCTCAAAAATGAAGTCTTACTCTATTGTATGACTCTATTGTATTTGTAAGACTAAAAAATGAAGTCTTACTGTATATTGTGTGTGTGTGCATGTGTGTGCTGGGTATAGGGTATATGTGGTAGGGGTTGTGGGGACCTGCCACACACTCCCCATCACGGTACACAGCCCCTGCTGCTACTAGCAGAAGCAGGCCCTCTGAGCGCTTGTGACCCACTGCAGGCTGGGGCTCTGCACCCCACTGCCTTTGCCTCAGGAGCTGTGTGTTGGCTGTGCCACGTCCCCTGCCTGCCCAGTGACAGCAGGTACAACATGGCATCACACAGCTCACAAGGCAACAGCAGTAGAGTGCAGAGCCCCAGCAGCCCATCTCTACTCCATGCACAAATCCAGGGGTTACATACCCCCCATACCTCCCCTAGGGTGCATGCAGCAGTGGGACCCCCTCCACACCCCAGGACGAGCAGTCTGCAGCTCCATGCCATGACCCCTCCTGGCCATGGGGCTCCATTCACCCCAGCCCCTGCGCCACTCCCTCCCTTACCATGGGGGCCACGATCTGCGCCACCACACCCCTTCCCCTTCACAGACTTGCTGGCTGGGCAATGCTCCACATGCCACTGGGCTACGTTCCTGGCTGCCTGCAGGCTGTGGCTGCGCATCTGTGTATGCCGCCCCCCCCACACACCGCTGCAGCCACCTGGAGCCTACACCTGAGCTGCTCCGTTGCCCTCTGAGCTGCCACCGCTGTCCTGTAGGGCAACCCAGAAGTGGCAGGGACAGCAGTGGAGCAGAGCCTGAGCACAGGCTCCAAAACCACATGACTGAATAATGCCTTAAAAAAATTAACTTGAACAATGATTAACGTGTTAAAAGCACACGTTAACTGAGATTAATTGAAAGCCCTAGTAAAAAGTGCTTTCATAAACTCAAATCAAATTTATTCAATTTTAAATGATTTTTTTTTGACCAGATGACAGTCCTTAGTTTAAGACAGCAAAGTGCTTTAGGGGAGGGAACCTATTTTCCAACATGCAGCATACTTTAATGCTGCACCTAAAGGCTTCTAACAGTACACCCAGAATAACTTAATTAAAAACAGGAGAGAGATAAATTGTATCATCATAATTTAAATTACAATTTAATAGTATTTATATTATTGTAATTTAAATTATAATGTAATAATAATGGCAATTTAATAATATCAAATCATTACAATTTAATAATATCATCATAATTCATCAGAAACACTGAATGCTAAAGGATGTCTAACATCTAAATCCAGGACAGGAAACAAAGTTTTTTAAAGCCCCAGCCTTCTGTGAACTCAAGCAACCTGATCTATCTGTGTGTGTAGCTCCTACGAGCACAAGTATTCAGCACAAAAAGCTCCTGCAGCTGAAGGAAGGAGACAATTTGCAGTAGTCAGTGAGAAGCTAACAAAATTTAGGAAACTGAGGATAAGGTGTCATACATATTACTACACTTACCCTCAAAGAGGCAAATTCTAGTTCGGAATTTTTCATGTTGATGTAATCTGGCCTCAAAGCTCAGAAAAGTGAAAATAATATGAAGCATGGCTGTGAACCTGATGGCCAAAGAATAAGCAACCTTCCAACAACCTCACAGTCTCTGAGGAACGCACAGCATGGAGCTTTGCTGTTGAAGCAAAAAAGGAATTATAAACAAAAAACCCAAAAAAACCCTTTACTTTTCCTTCATTTGAGCCCTACTGATGATTAAATAAGAACTGAGAAAAATGTTGATACAGCTTATTTTGTGCTGAATTTAGAATGAGCTATAAAACTCGTTTATATTTCAGGAAAAAAACAGCATTCTTCTGAAAAAAGAAGAAAAGAATCTGCTGAGGTCTATAACTCAGAATCTGAGGACTAATTCTTGTGAAAAAAATCTGTTGATGGTGCTCAAAAGTAATTCCAAAAATGTTTCCTTTAGAAGACCAATGTTATTGGCAGGACTACCTGATATTTTGTTCCCAGTTGTTGTGAATGGACTTCCTTCTATGAACATCATGATGTTTTATGAATAGCTTGTGACAACTAAAGTGAGGCATGCAAGCAGTTCTTTATTGTATCCAATTAATGAAGTGGTAGAAAGCTCACCTCAGTCAATGAGACACTATCTAAGAATAAGGATCTGTTTTTTGTGGATCTTACTCCAGGTCTGGTTCTTAGAACATGAAACTACTCAGCAACTTCTATTCTATTCCTTTA